GAAACCTGATCCAAGACAACAATCAACGAATCATTCGAAGCACAAACTCGAAGAAAAGAAAAAATCTGCACACAATGTCCGAAGATACCGCGCTGGCTGCTATGGGAAAATCAGGCAACAACAATCACGAGAAGCAAGTGCAATGTCAGCAAAGAGAATCAAAACGTACTGTTCTGATTGCGAAAAATTCTTTTGCCTTGATTGTTTTAACGAGAAGCATTACTCTATGTAATAAAAATTTCAGACAGTGACGGGGATGGAGTGGGTATGTGTCACTCACTGATTAGAAAAAGAAGAGAAAGGAATTATTTTTTATTATTTTTCTCGTTAAAATATGCCATCGGTGACTCACATCGCCCCAAATTGGCTAATTTACTTCTACTAATTGATCCCGATAAAACTGAAATTCTAATTTTGCTCGATTAATATTAGAATTTCAAATTTGACTGTAACGCATAGTAACTACCAAAATTATTCTACTAGATTTATTTTCAATTTTTTCTACTGTCATAAATACTAAGACGAAATTCAAACAGTGATTTAACTATAGAATTTTATTTCAAATGAGAATCTTTGAAGATAAAAATGATTGCTAGTTTCTTAAAGATAGGCTCTCTGAAAAACCGAAAACTAAGTCTTTCAGCTTCTAGAATTTGTAAGGCGTAGTTCTGTTTGATTTAACTCGGAATGGTAAAGCAAACGATTCTCTACATAATGAAACATTTACTAGCTCGATAATACAAGCAGAATTATGAATGCAAATTCTAGATGCTGAAAAATTTGATTTTCAGTTTTTTGAAGATTCTATCCTCGGAAAACTAGCAATCGTTTTTATCTTCAAACATACTTGGTTGGAAATCAAAATTCTTTATTCAAATCACCATTTAAATTTTTCTTAGTGTTTACGATATTGAAAATAAATCTAGTCGAATAATTTTAGGACTAATTGTGAATATGTATACTTACACCATCTAAAATAACACGAATACTATTTTTATGCATTTCATCAATCATCTCTTTTAAATCACTAGTTGTTCCATAACTTGTTTCAATAGCAAAATAATATCTTGGATTATATCTAAATAAAATAAGACATAGAAATATTATAATGATATAAGAACAACAAATACATACCCCCTAGAGAATAATTATTAAATGAAACGAAAGATAAAAAATTCTTTTACATATAAAAATAAAACAAGAATATATTCTTACCAAGAATGATTTCCTATAAATTAAGAAATAAATATTTTTATTATATATATATATATAAAGAAAAATCTATTGTTGTTTTTTTTTTTACCAGGATATTCTTTAATTGGCATAAGTTCAACTGAAAAAAACAAAATTGATTTGTAAATATTATATTTAAATATTAAAAAAAAAACATACTCGCATTAACACCAAGTTCTTTTAAATAATCAATTTTTTCTTTAACATTTTTAAATTGACCACGAGCATTTGGATCATTATCACCACCAGAAAAATCACCAACATGTATTTCATAAATAACAAGTTCTTCATCAGGTGGTAAATAACAACTATCATATTTCCATTCATATTCATCTAAAAATAAACTAGTATTTATTTTATTTTTTGAAAAAATTTCTATATTGAAAATTTTCATTTTATCGTAGAAAAATTTCTTAACGAAATTAAAAATAATTCAAACATACCGATAATTCGTTTGCCATTTTTGACTGTTAATATACCAACAGCTTTATGTGCATCATCTAAATTATTCACAAAGATATATTTTCGATTGATGAGAAATAGATTCAGAAAATAATTAACAATCTATTCAAAGAGAAGAAATATTATATATGAGCATAAATACAAACGTTCAGTAGACTCTTATAATTCAATGTGAAGTCTTATGCGATAGCAAATGATTGCTTTAAAAATTTTTCATAATTCTCTAGAACTTTGAGGCTTCTGTTTGCTACGATTTTCGTTATTCGACAATATCTATTGTCTTTATTCAAGAAGTAAATCTTCATTTTTCACATGCCTAGGAAGTGAAGTAGAAACTTTACTTCTGTCAAATATGCGACTCATTGTCATTCGACCAACGGTCGCTTTTTCTATTCATACTACCAACGACAAAATACTTGCGAGTCGTATTTTTGATGGTATTGTATTGATCATTTTAATGAAAAAGACATTCAAATTTACTCAATAAGTAAGAGTACTAAAGTCAAAATACTCAAAAACGTGAACTACCACTTAGCAGCAGTCATGAATAGTCGAAATTTTTTCAGTATTTTGATCCTAGTACCATAATTTATTGAGTAAATTTGAATATTTTCCTTTACTAAAATGATCATCGCAACAAGTTCTACAGATGAAAAATATCTTCTGCACTCATAAGAATATCCATTTGATAGAATCTATTAGAGATTCAATTCAAACAGCAATCAACTTGTGATATGTAGAATAAGCTTTTTCTCGTATCATCTTTCCTCATGAAAAAAATTTTCTAAGTCTTACCCTACACATCTCAACAATCAATCATTAAATGATTCTATTTTGACTAAAAAATAAAATAAAATTAACTTGAACAGAATTCGCTTTAGTTCTTTTTTTCGTTTATCGAAAAGAACATAAAACAAATACCTTCCATACGCAATAAACAATGGATATGATAAAGTTTTCTAGTTCGACATGCGACAGTCGTTGATCAGAATTAATCTATGAATGTTTTTATTTTACAATTATCTTCCGATATTAATAAATAAATATATTTACCTGAACCACGTTCATCAACATCAGTAGCATAAGGATCAACAAATGTATACCAAATTTCTGTAAAAGTAGCTTCACTTTCACGTTGACGATTTCGTTCACGAATTTCATCAATAAGTTTTGTATATGCTTCAGTTTTTTCTTGTTTTTCTTCTTGAGCTAAAAAGGAAGAAATAATTTCAATGAAAAATTAAATCTTCAAATATTTGTTTTAATAAGAAAAAAACAAAAAGAACAACGTGAAGATAAAAACTTATACATACTCATTGCTATATATTCATCATCATCATAATTTGGTAATGCAGGTTCTGGTTCTTGTTCAAACCAAGATTTTGTTTGAACTATACATATATTATCTTTTTATTAGTTCAAATCTTTTTTTTTTTTACTTTTAAATTGATAATGAAAAATACCATCAGCTAAATCTACAGTTGCTCGAAAATAACCATCTGACTCGTCTTTTTCCATAACTGTAAAAAAAAACACAAAATTTTCAAATATTTTTATTAATTAATCTTACGAATATCAGCCCCAAACATTCGTACACTAGCATTTTTTAGCTATTAAAAAAATTCAACATAAGAAATTAATAAAATAATATTTACAATAACAATAACAAACCCGTATTGCTGCTTGTTTATTATATGGTGCAAAGAGTGTAAATGTAAATGGTGCCATATATAATCTAAAAAAAATCAAAGAAACTGTTGATGGTTTTAGTATTTCTACAATCTAATACTCTATCAGTTTATAGAATATGCCTAGCATTTTATAATAGTAATCATTCGATAATTCATTTTGCGTTGTAAAAGATATTTTTACTAGCACTATATAATATTCTCCTTATAATAGAAAAGCAATAAATAGAAAACAATAGAAATGAATTAAATTCTCCACTATATTTGACAAATAATTATAATCTTTAGATAATATATGCATTCAATATTTCATTGTCCTACTTAGTTTTGTATTTGTAGACTAATGATCTAAGAAACATCATGCAAATATATTCATACATACATAGCCTAAATATGACTATTAATAATATCCAAATATGGATTTGTTTATTTCTATTTGTCATCATCGAAGAAGTTTGATAAAAAAAATATGCAAACGTTAAATATGTGAAATTACAATAGAGAAAATTTAAAATGAATTCTGAATAAATACAATGTTTTAATTCCATTTAAATGTGTATTTAATAGCAAACAAAACAAAAAAATATCATGAGGCAAACAGTACATCTTGTCTACGTTTCATCCTATTGTTGATATGATGCTTACACTCAATACAACTAAGAAAGGAGAGATTCATATTGAACAAACAGATGTGAAAATAACTAATCATATTTTAGTTAGATTATTTCAAGCTAATTAATAATTTGTCTGTAAATTTATATACTTACACATCTATAATATTTAATAAAAAAATAAAAAATAAACACATAACGAAGAAAAAAAACCTCAAGAAATAAAATCCAGCTATTAGTTCTACTCGCTAGATGAATGATAATATTGAAAGAAGAAAGGAAAATAACAAAATATATTACTATAGATACAATCTCTAAACTAAGTCATTCAGTACATACATACATTCATTCAGTACACACATGTACAAACATACCAAAAGAACTGATTGATCTAATTGGATATGTATTTTATCAGTTCAGACATGTTTCAAACCAATCGAAATAATTTTAAACAAAAACTACCAAAGATGGCATTAACAATTGATCAACGCATTCTTTTTTTGTCTTGTAAAACACGATATAAATACAATGTCAAGGTATAGAGATAGAAATTTGAACTTTGTCCCTACAGATGTGATAAGCACCTTGGCAAAGTCCATCTTACCGAATGTTTTAACAATACCTGTCCTCTATCACAAATTGATATAGATACTTTAGTATTGTCGTACGTCACACTTTCATCGTCGACATAAATTAACAATAGCTAATCATTTACCAATCAAAATTTATGTTGATGAATATCTCCTCTTTTTTTTCATATTAACAGCTATATCGTGTTTCACATTTAAATCTCGCAAGGAATTATGCTTAACAGCTTTTCCTCTCTTGTTTTCTTTTATATTAATAAACGAAAGATAATTTTGTTTTTAAAAAAAAAAGATAATGAGCCAAAGAAAAAAAAACATGTTGCAGAAAAATAGGAAAGAAAAAACGAAGACAACTACGATAATAACATAGAGAGAGAAAGAGAGATATCAATCAAAAAAATAAACATCACAGTCAATATTTAATAATCATCAGGTATAATGGGAATATTTGCTATGACATTTTTGACCATTTCAGTCTCTTCATTTGTTATTTCTGCAGGTAATGATTTCATAGCAGGTGATGCTTGAATCTCATCATATGTTGCTGGTCTCTCGACTTGTTTTATTCGTAATCTAAACAATAAACAAAAAAATAAAATAAAATAAATAATATTTTTATTCACAAAGATATTAAGAATCAATAAAAAATCATGATTAAGATCATCTTTTATTTGTACATGTTGTTTATTACAAGCGGAAATATTAATATATGTTATTTCATTCAATGTTAAGAAATTTTTGTGTGTTTTGCTTGTTCAATTAATAAAATCTCTTATATCGTACTTTGAGATTCTCAACAAAGCTATATTTTCTAATCAAAAGAAAGTTTCAATCATTTTTTCTCAAAAATTCCTATCAAATATCATTTGAAAAGCCATCAATATCGTTTTGTCGAGCAATTCTTGCTGCATCAAATAGTATATAGGAAATTGCTTTTTTTTTCATCAAATTCTAATGTTCTAAGAAGTCATATACCGGTTAAATTTTGTTTAAAGTTACTTCGATAGAGTGTTTGTCTCATCTTGAATTGTGTATCATAATATTCACAATAACTTTCTTCGTATTCAAAATTTTAGTATTTATATAATTTTTGGCAATAGGCTATCCTCTGAATTGATGGAATCGGCCAATCAATGATATTTTTCGATTTCTAGGAGCAGAAAAGTGTATGAATTTTGTGATAAATATTTGTTGAGTAAAAAAACAAAGCTTTCATCTATTAATAATAAGTTCATCATGCTCTATCATTTGATTTATATAGATCTTTCTCAAACATGACAAAAAAAATTATTGCTTTCAGATCTGTGATGCGGAAACGGACTATTACAAAAATTAGTGTTTATTTTATTTTATTTCCTTACAAGTTTAGATTTTGAGTAGCCGGATGTAATTAGAGTCTATTTTCGTTCAAAACATTCATATATGTCAAATGATAGGGTATGATAGAAACTCTTTCACTTAACAAATATTTATCGCAAAATTCATATGTTGTTCTGTGTTTAGGAATCGAAAACTAGCATTGATGAATTAGGATGGTCATCTTATTCGACAGGATCCTTTAGTCTCGATTTCAGACCTGCAGAGATCAAGCTCATCTTGCCTATATAGAAGTGTGTTATCTTTATTTTCTTGGACGAATTTAAATGAGTCATTATCTAGAAAGGAATTGAACATAAATGAAATTTTAGTGTGTATTTTATTATATTAAGATTTCATATTTCATTCATTTCAAATAGAAGAAACTTTTTAAAGATATTTTAATTTCCTTAAATTGTCTCATTTGAAATTATGTAGAAAAAGTTTTTTCTTTCTTTGTTCAATTAAATTATTCATCTATACTTAATAACTTACAACCAAACAATAAGTTGTTGTAATTCTGTTGATAAGTTTGTTGGTGGTTCTGGTAACCATGTCATAATTGCACTCATAATACCGAGTGCATTCATTTTAGCAAATGGATGTTGACCAGTTGCTATTTCCAACTATAGAAATATTTGTTTAAAAAAAAAACATCACAAAAATTCTATTTACTGTTGAAAGACCTAATGCCCACATGTCTGATCGTATACCATAACCTTCAGGTGCTTGACTTGCATCAATTCGTTCAGGCTAAAATAAAACAGTAGAAATTTTTTTTTAAATCTATTCTAAAAACTTTTAACATACAGCTAAATAAACTTGCGTTCCTTTCATCATTGTATGTGCAACTGAATTTGTTAATTGACCAGATATACCAAAATCACAAATTTTAAATATAACAGGATCATGTTTAACTAAAATATTCGATGGTTTAACATCACGATGAAGTATTCCTTTTGATTTAAGAAATTGTAATGCATCAACAATCTAGAAAAAAAAAACAAGAAGATTTAATAAGCTTTTTCTTTTTTTAATATCAATTTTATTTCTTACATGATTAATCATACGTTTAAGTAATAAATCAAGATGTTTGAGTTCTTTCATTTTATGCATTGTTGTATAAAATTTTTCCATGGATGTGTCACATGCTTCCATACAAATAACAACTTGACTTTCTTTCTATTTAAATAAATAAATAAATTTACAAAACAAAACAAAAAAAAATTTATACTAACTTTATCAATAAGACCAGCATAAAATCTGATAACATGTGGAAAATTACATGAACCAACTGCACGAATTGTTTTAAGATCAGTAGTAGCTGTATAATCCGCTAAATTGTTAGTACTCGGAATTAAACCTAATCTCTATTTAAAAATCAAAAAATAGATCAATTTAATTTTTGACACACTAAAAAATATTTCCGATGAGTCAAAAACTATACCGGGAACTACCCTACAAAATGCACTTTTCTTTCGGCAAGACATTTCAATTTCCGTTTTTCCTACATATTCATTTTTAAAAAATCGACAAACGTTTTACGCTGAAAGGAACTACAGAAAAAAAGAAATGCTTGTAGCCTCACTTAGGTAAAGGCTACAGCTTAGTTGAATAATGTCATATTTTATAGAGAAGTAGCCACTCTAAAAAACGACTGACTTTGAAAAATTTTTAACATGTTTGAAAATGAACTTATAGGGTACAAAAAAACCTGTTGAATCTTGTCTAAAAGCTTTCCGATCGTCTCCTTATTCATTACACAATGATAGCAGAATTTTCTTAATTGAACGCTTCTATTTATTTTAATGGACTTTTAATTTATCCAGGAATTTTAAAAATCTTCCTTCCTTTCGAAAATTCGACTTTTAAGATAAACATATGAACATATTGCCAAGTGTACGAATTTATAAAAATAGTAAAATTGTAAATATAAAAGCAACGGTAGATAGCATCATCTATCGTAATGTATCTTGTATGAGGACAATGTAATATACATAGATAAGTCCTTCGATTGACGTGTAATATATTGATGTTTCATTTCCTTAAAATATTTTCTTATGCAAAATTTTATTATTATATCACGTATTCTGTCAGAATTAGATTTTTGAAGCCAATGGTGAAAAAAAAAATTTTAAAACATATCTGCTAAAAAAATTGTGCTCTCGCGAAGAACCATAAGTAATCCAAAAAAAAAACGAAGGATACCTTTAAATTTGATATGAATTTCAAAAATCATTCGAATGAAACTTATACATTTAATTTTTCAATAATTAAAATTAAAGAAGATTAATCATGAAAATAAACAAAAAAAAAACAACTTTAAACAATTAGTGAATACATCAAATCGAAGATGAAATAAAATAAATTATTCTATCTTTAATGATGATCTAAATTTATATAGTATTTCTATTTTAAAGTTCAAACATACTTTAACAGCCATTTTTATTTCTGGATGATTTTGTACTTCAGCTAACATAACACTTCCATAATTGCCAAATCCAAGTTTTCGTATATCATTTAACATATTTACATTAATAGTTACTTCTTCACCATTGTAATTAATAGTTGCTTCTTCACCAACATCAGGTAACCTGAAAAAATAAAGAATAATTTTGTTGTTTTTTTGTTTTTTGAAATATCTTTAAAAAATTCGTGTTTTTTTTTTTGTTTACATATAAGTATTATCAGCTGCTGGTTCAACTTGATCACCTGTATAATCAGGAAATTCTACTCGTACTAAAATATTTCATATAAAAAAATAATATTAATTAATAAAGTTTCTTATTTGTACATTCTTCTATATGATACACACACGTGATTCAATCGCATATAGCATAGAGAACGGATGTTATGTATCATATAGAATCACTACAAAGTTTTTCCGATTTTTATTTACTTTTAAATTTTTCTTTGCCACGTCGGGAAGTTCCTCTTGACATTTTTAATGTTACTGTTAAAAACTAGAAAAAAAACAAAAGGAAGTCGACAAGCTTTTGTTTCAAAGAAGATTTGATGTAGCCACACAACGTGAATGATTCATAAATATTTAATAGATAAGTCAATCAACCAATTGTATGAAAAATCTCAATCCTCTGTCCTTCATTTCTATTGGTGTCTGAATACCTTCCATATGATAGAAGACAAAAAAAAAAAGGCTAACTGATTGATATTTTTCATTGTAGAATAATATGTCTAATACAAAAAATGCGTATGTTTTTATTTTTTGTTTTTGAATATTTTTTATTTTATTTTATTAATTATGTAGAAAACAAAAATTTGAAGAAATTGCTAAAACAAATCAAGAAAATATTCGACGATTATTATCAAATGAAGATTATCAATCAAATTTAGATACAGTAGATGATAGAAAACTTATTGAAGAAGTATTAAATAAAACAAAAAATTCATTTAATGCTGGTATAGTAAAAAAAAAGAGATCGATTGTATTCGTTTAGCAGATCTGGAAATATTAAAGTTAGTGTTCTATCCCACAGTAGATTATAATATATTAGGAGGTGAAACACCGCTTCAAGAAATAAGATTTAATATAAAATAGTATATAGAAATGAAGTGTACATGTTTAGGCTTAGATTGAATATTAGCTTTAATGATAAGCGCTATAAGGTAATTATATTTTATTTCTATATAATCTGGATCCTTGGAGCACTATTCTTTGGTTTATATCATTCATTGGATAGTAGTGTGCAGAAATATGAATTGCCTCGAAAAAGGAATTTACCATGCTTTCATTTTCTAAAGTAGCTACATAATAATTAGTAGATGTTAGAAAATTTCAAACATATGCAGTAGAGTTTTTATAATATTTATCTAGTATTTTTTGGAATTACCTTTGAAAATGAACATAGATAATCTTACAAAATTATTTTATAGAAATGCCAACACCTTTGATTCTATCGTATGATCAGGTTGGTGCTTAAAATTTTTTGAAAAAATTGTAAACTGCTAGCTGTTTTCTCTTTTATAGTATAAGCAAGTTTATTGCTCTAGGCAATGCATGGTTGATTTCTTTCACGTAAATATTTGAAAAGGATTTTTAATCTTTTGATTGTGTTGCCCTATATTTTCTCATCAAATACTCAAATCCGTTTCCTTCAGTTCTAACATGCCATTTACTCCCAATATTGATTAAGAAAAATTTCGATACTAAAAAAATTTTGGTTTTCTTTTTTGTTATAATTAGGTTCATCTGATGATCTTGGTCGCACTTATCAATATTTAATAGATTCCTTATCATCAAATGCTAATATATGTTTAATATGTATTGATACAATTGAAAAAACTGATGCAGTTCGTATTAAATATAATCTGAAAATCTTCTTTCATTGACTTTAAAATTTTTAATTTAGATTTGGAATTGTTCATGTTGTTATTCACCATTCCATATAGTTTGTATACAAAAATGGATTAAAGATGGAATATATCAATCATCATCAATAAATAATAATGAAACAAATACTTGGCATTGGTAAGATTAAAAGAAAGAACAACGGCATATAAACAATGAAATCAGAACTACTAATTGTTCATTAGTAATTCTACACAGAAAAGTGATTTGAGTTTTTCTTTTGGTGTCAAATTCAAGCGAAATTTTGGTAAGATAGATCTTTGGTATATTTTTATTGGTTCAGTACTTGATTAGAAGAGAACATTAGATTCTGCATTATTGCATACAATCTAAGTTCAGTTTGATTCGTTTGACTTTTTGTTTATATGAGCCGCTTTCTGTTATATATCATTCGATAGAGAAAAGAAAGAGACATAAAATGAGATATAATTCATTTGAATCAAGATATCTAATGTGCATTGCAATGGACTAATCTTGGGTGTATTTATTGAGATTAAATCGGCTTTGGAGAAAAATGAATGATATATTTGAAATCAGCATGAAAACATAAGCCGATCTATATATTTTTAAAACTCTTGTTAGCATTTTTATTTTCATCCTGAAAATTTAGCCCTGGAGGGATATGTTGAAAAATGAAATCTATTAAAACACTGGCTTGACTACAAAAAGCCAATTTCTTACGTCTCTAAACATAACTAAATCCAATAGAATAGTTGATTAATAAATAAAAATGATGTTTTAATGGATTGCATTTTTCAACTTATCTAAATTTTGAGGACGTAAATAAAAGTGCTAACAAGAATTTTAAAAGTATATATATCGGCTTAGTTTTTCATGCTGATTTCAAATATACCATTTATTTTTCTCCAAAGCCAATTTAATCTCAATAAATACACTAAAGATTAGTCCATTGCAGTGCACATTAGATGTCTTTGTCCAAAATGAAATCAAATAAATTATGCATAATTTCGTAGCTTCTTCTTTTCTCTGTCGAATCGTATATAACAAAATACAGCTCATATGAAAAAAAAAAGTTCAAACGAATTAATTTGATATTAGATTGTATACAATAATACCGTGTCCAATGAAAGAGTTGCGAAAAGTAGTATTACTATTGTCATTAATAGTTCGTATGAAATGATACAGAATCTAGTGTTCTTTCTAATCAAATACTGAACAAATAAAAATATATCGAAGATCCTACCAAACTCTCGCTTGAATTTAACACTAAAAAAAAAAACACAAACCGCTTTTCTGTGTAGAATGATTAGTAGTCCTAATTTCATTGCTTATGCTCTTCCGTTCTTTATTATAATTTATTGGTTTCTTCTTCTTTGTTTTTAGTCCAAAATGTCGAACTGAATTTGATCAAAAAAATATACCAAAACGTTATTTATGTTATTGTCAAAAAGAAATTGATCCTCAATTTGATCCATGGTTAATTCCACATTCATGTGGACAAACATGTGGAAAACGATTAATACCTGAATGTGGTCATATATGTTTATTACTTTGTCATCCAGGACCATGTCCACCATGTCCAAAACAAGTTAATGTTCGTTGTTATTGTAATCAATCAGGTCCAACAGCACGTCGTTGTGGTTTTAAAGGTTGGTCATGTGGAAAAATTTGTTCAAAATTATTATCTTGTCAACAACATCGATGTGAACAAGTATTATTTATTTTTATTAAAATTAGTTAATAAAAAAAAAAACAAAAACAATTTTTTTTGAAATTAGATTTGTCATAGTGGAGAATGTTTACCATGTCAAAAAACAAGTATTCAAACATGTCTATGTGGAAAAACAAAAGCAATACGAAATTGTAATGAACTAAATTTTCAATGTGATCAAGTAGAAAAATAAAATTTTGTTTTGTTTTTTTTTTGATTTTAGAAATATTTATTAGTATTATTTTATTTTAGCCATGTAATCGATTATTAAATTGTCAAATTCATGAATGTAAACGTATATGTCATAAAAATGAATGTGGTCTTTGTCCTCGACAAGGTATACGAACATGTCCATGTGGAAAAACAAGTAAGATTCATTTTTAAACAAATAAAATGAGCTAAAAAGAGAAAACATTTGTCAATTCGATCTCTTTGATTCATTTCTAATAATTAAAATTATCTTTTTTTCTTTTTACAGAATATGAAAATTTATCATGTTCAGAAGATGTTCCAACATGTGGTGATACATGTGATCGAAAACTTGATTGTGGTCTTCATCGATGTTTACATCGATGTCATACTGGTTACTGTGAATCAGTACGAGAAAAAAAATTTTTTTTTTTTATTTAAAATAAAAAAAAAAGAATCTAATCTTTTTTTTAGTGTCGACAAGTTATTTTAAAACGATGTCGTTGTGGTTTAAAAGAAAAATTAATTCCATGTTGTCAAGAATATCTTTGTGAAACAAAATGTACACGTATGCGTTCATGTGGTAAACATCCATGTAAACGTAAAGTATGAAGACAAATAAATATATAATGAATGATGCAAAAGTTTTGCGTATTAATACTGTTTCTTCTGTATCTTACAAGGGAACCGTCAGAAGTAATTCACCGCTTTTGAGCTCATATTTTCTAGACTAGAATAACCCTAAAAGGGTTCAGATCCATAGGCTTCCTCTATAAATTTAATTTAAATTTTAGCCTATGGCGCGGTATGTACAAATAAATTAACTGACGATATTTCGACCTGAAATTTTCAGGTGAAAAAAATGTTTCCTTCACGAAATATTGAATTTTCAAAAATCACTTAGATCCCATAAAAGATGTGAGAATCTCATGTTATATCGACATTCAATATCTCGCGAAGGAAACATTTTTTTCAGGGCATTCTAGTTACAAGTAGATCTATCTGTGGACAAAAATTTCAGGTCGAAATATCGTCAGTACATACCGTATCATAGGCTAAAATTCAAGTAAAATTGCTAGAGGAAGCCTATACGTTCGAACTCTTTTAGGGTTATTCTAGTCTAGAGATTCCCTCTATATGCCCAAAATATGAGCTCAAAAGCAGGTAATCACTTCGGGCAGTTCCTTCGTTTACCATGGTAAAATTTGTCTTGCGGAATTTTGTTCCTGGAATGAGTTACTACTAAAAAAAGCATAGTTTTCACAGCTTTGAGAATAAAAGAAGGTGATCCACTGATGTTATACTATAGTTAAAATTGTGGGTACACCTGACGAGAAAATCCACACACGCTTGCAAAGTTTGTATTAAAGATCATGGGCTCTCTTTACAAAGCTTCGACACTGATCAGAGAACCTTTCCAGCTACAGAAGTAACAAAATTAATGCAAAACTTTGGTATCATCAATTACATTAGAATCTTGTTTTTCTAATTTCCGAACAAAAAAAATCTTAGTGTTGCGATGGAAATTGTCTACCATGTCAAACAATTTGTGGTAAAACACTTAATTGTCGTAATCATAAATGTCTTAGTGAATGTCATCGTGGTCAATGTTATCCATGTACACATAAAGTTGATGTTACATGTGCATGTGGACAAACATCAATAACTGTTCCATGTGGTTGTGAAAAACAAACACGAAAACCACGTTGTAA